CCCCACCCGCCGTCTCTTCCCAGCGCGCTCAGACCCAGGGGTGTTAACTCTTTGGACTGCTCAGGATGAGGCTTTGGACGGGATGGTTTCTGTTTGTTTGTGTTGGAGATTTTTGCTATAGGGCACGTGTACTTGCCAGAGAGACAGAGACACACACACATACACACAAAGTGAAAAATCACTCCGAGGGAGGTGGCCACGTGGCCACCCCTTCTCCATTCTCTTCTTGGGATTTTAGGAGCACGTGTGCACACACACACGTGTGCCTGGCGTGAGTTTCAAGTCGCCAGGTCTGGACCTTAAAGCACTGTCAGCCATGTGGGAGTCTAGCACCTTCACCACCACACTATCTGCTGGTCCCCCAACTAGAAAGGGTTAAGATTTTTGGGACCAGCAGTTAGCGTAATGGCTATGTTGCTGGACTCCCATGTGGTTGACCGCAGTTCGAGTTCCGGACCCGGTGGCTTTAAACTCACGCCGGGCGTGTGTGCGTGCGTGCCCAAGATCCCGAGAGGAGAATGGAGGAGAAGAGATTGCGGCATGGCCCTTCCCTCTGGGGGGTGATTTCTCACTTTCTGTCTTCCTGTTTCTCTGTGTCTTTTTGGCGAGCGCATGCGCCCTATAGCAAAAACCTCTCCAAAAAGAAAGAAAGAAAGCGTTAAGATTTCTTAGAGGTTTTTGCCGTAGGGCGCATGCGCTCGCCAGAGAGAAAGAGAGACAGAGACAGTGAAGGGGAAAGTGACAAGTCACCCCTGGGGAGATGGCCACACCACAATCCCTTCTTCTCCATTCTCCTTCTGGGAGCTTGGGCACATGCACACACACCCAGCTTGAGTTTAAGCCACCGGGTCCAGGACTTGAACCACAGTCAGCCATGTAGGAGTCCAGTAACGTAATCACTACACCATCGGCCCCAATGGGTTACCGTGGTTTTGTTTTAATTTGCTATAGAGCATGCGCGCTTGCTGGAGAGGGAGAGAGAGAGAGAGCGAAACAGAGAGAGTGAGAAATCACACCCCAAGGGGATGGCCCGGCCACAGTCCTTCCTCCTCAGCTCTGCTCCAGAATTTGGGGCACACACAGCCAGCGTGGTTTTTAGGCTTCCAGGTCCAGGGCTCGAACCGCACCAGCAGCCCTGTAGGAGGTAGCTGCCTTCACCACCACTGCCATGGGCTGGCCCAAGGAGGCTTTGGTGTTTAATAAAGCACATCTCAGCATGTGCTGTGGAATTCAGGCAACACCGGTTGAAATACTGCACTGTGCTCTTTTTTTTTTTTTTGCCATAGGGTGTGTGCACTCGCCAGACAGAGAGAGACAGAGAGACAGAAAGCGAGAAGTCACCCCCCAGGGGAGATGGCCACGCCCCAATCCCTTCTCCATTCTCTTCCTGGGATCTTGGGCACATACGCACACGCCGGGCAGTTTAAGCTACCAGGTCCAGGACTCGAACTGTGGTCTGCTACATGGGAGTTCAGCGACACAGCCATTACAATTGCTGGTCCCGCACACGGTGCTCTTGTGCTGCGGACGCGGCTGCTGTGTTAGGTCGCTAGGGGAGCCCGCTATCAGAGACCACCTGACCCGAACCACAGGGAGGCCTGGCGACGTGGGCTGGGCCTCAGGACTGCAGTGGGCACAGCGAGCCCTCCCAGGGCTGACGAGAGGGACATGCCAACCCAGCAGGCGCACCCGGAGCTCTGATGGCAAGTCCCGCCATGCTGTCCCTGCGGTCAGCCCTGACCCGCACCGTGCCAGGCTGTCGCTGGGCTGCATCAGCAGGGCGCCCAGTGACCCCCATGCCCAGTGCAGCGTCTCCTGAGCCCTGCTTCACGGCAGTCTGATGGGCTTACGCCGAGGGCCCTGGGCTCACGTCTGAGTGTCGGCCACGCCAGCAGGGGGCCCCC